GAAATATTCCCAAAGCTCTATTTACAATACTGCAATTAGATCTTTCTTGCTGTGGAGCCCATAGAACCTAATGTTACCACTAGAGGGAAGAATTGTCTCAGTACATAGGCACAATACATAGAAAGGATTATTTTAACAATTTCTGTAACAAAAGTTTTCTTGACTAGATGAGCCTTCTAATTACACACAATTAAAGTAATTAATAAAAAAGAAAAAAAATCAAGACTTCCTCCACATTTTTAAAAGGGCAGTAATATCTATTCCCATTTTAACCTACCCCCACCCTGAAAGTTACTCGATAAAAGTTCAATTGACAAAAGCAAGGAGAAAAAAAAATTGCTTGTAAAATAAAATCTGAAATAACAAGAACAGTCAAACAAAAGAGAAAGGCCATGGTATTTAGCCATCTGAAAATGAACTGTCCTCCAAAGAGCAGAAAATACATTCTGCTAATTTATGATTCAAGCACCTTTTTTTTTTAAACAGATTGTTATTGTTGGCAAAATTTGCCAGATTCAAATAGCATTCTTAATGTATAGGTGGTCTATTCCTTCCCTGCCTCATATCTTGGCTATAAAAACCTGCACAATCCACTTTTTCTTCCATTGCTGGCCTGCTTTAAGTTTTGCTCATCTTCAAATGTTCCAATTGTTCATTTTTGAGCTTAAGTCATTCAAAGGGAAGATGGCAACTAAGGCAGTCGTTTTTCTTCCCATTTACAATAGGTGACATTTCTCCAGCAGTGCACAAGGTGTTGAAAACCTGGCAGCTGTTACCTCCTGGGACAGAGCTCCTTTTTTATCCTCCTCTTGACAGTTTAACTCAATGGGTCAGCACCTTTAAAGACAGCAAAGTATCACTGAAGTGGATGGCTAGAGTTGAATTACTGCACCCTCCCTAATCAATGGAAGCCCTCACTGCAGGTGAAACTCTTCGTCTATAGAGGTGGATGGGGGAGGAAAATGTAATGCCTTAAGCCAGATGGGTTTCATCTTGTGGTGTGTGATTTTTGCTTTGTCTTTAAAAAAAGAAAAAGAAAAAAAAAGAATGGAACAAGCTAACAAGCGGACAGATACTTTGTTAGCTTCTTGGCCTCTCTCATGGCTCTGAAGCCCCAGGGTTCCAGCTACACAAGAGAAAAGAATTCAGCATACACGTAAACACTTAAAGAAATATAACTAAGGGGATGGCAGCATGCTGTTTTCAAAGAGTTGAGAGTCCTGTTCACAGCTTTATTTATCACTATGCACGTTCAGTAGGCTGTAAGTGGACACAGAAACAAAAGGTCAGAAGAATAGGCAATGCTAGACATTTTCTCCCTTAAGAGAGGAAGGCAGAAAAGCAGCACATCTGACAGACACGATTAGTATTAAAGTAAAAAGTCAATACAAGTGGGCTTTATGTTTCAAGATAATATCTTCGGCAGCAGCTTTGGATTCCTGTTTAATTTATAAGTTAACTCTTCAAGTACAAAAGAAAAAAACTCAAAAGAGGCTATTAATTGAGGGAGTGCAGGAAACAAATAGATTATTTTATGAACACACTTTTAGAAACCTTGCTGGTCATTATTAATGTTAAAGGTCAGGTTAAATCAATCATGTTGATTTTTCCCTCCCTGAAAGATATTCATTCAATTTTAGGTAACTATGAGACGTCTTTTTAGACTGTTTTGCCCAAAATTGTAAACATCCTATGGCTGGGCTCAGCAGTTTTTCTATTTCCCCCACAATATATCAGAGCCTTGTATGTCCTCCAAAACCTCTGAATATTGCAGCCAGAAAACACAAGGCAAAACTACTGAAGAAATGGCTTACCAAAATATGGTGATGGAAAGGTATAGTTATTCTGGCTAGGGAATTCTAGGAGCTGAAGTCCATACATCTAAAAGTTGCTGAGATTGAGAAATGCTGGTGTAGAAGGAAGGAGAACCATTTTAGTTGACAAGAGTCAGGAATAGTTGCTTCACTTTTACTCTGTCTAGAAGCTGTGCACTTCAACGCAAAAACTGCCATGCATATCATTTCAATGATGCTGCTATCAGCACTTCCCCCACATGGCACCTTTTGACATAATTTCCTCTCTGCAAAGAATATCCATATCCAAACTCCCTCCACCTGCAGAGCACGTTTTGTCAGGAAAAAGATACTTCATTAATACCCTATCTGAGCAAAGGAGAATAGTTTTCCTTAAATAACCTGTGCTGAGCCATCTTTTCAAAAAGGCAGGAGAGTAATCAAGTTCAGGGCAGCCCTGGACAGCTGCCCTGTGACCTAGGCCTGTTGACCTTTGCTATTCATCACTTTCCTTTAGAGTAGGAGGGCAGACTCTTGGGGAGTGACTTCACAATAGACAGCTACAATCCAACAACAATATGGTCCTGGCAAAAAGAAAGAGAAAACCCAGATGGTATTGCAATAAATTTACAAATCTTCATTCATGGCTCTGTTTAACACACCCCAAAGCCAAAAGGCTCAAAGGTCCCTGGAGAGATTCCCCCTCATTGGCTTCTAAAGGCTAGCTCTCTTTCAAGGCTACTAAGATTCAATTCTTCAGAGAGGTAAAGCCCTTAAAATAATAAATGCTTGACCTAATCAATCTACCATTCAGATTTAACACTAAACGATAGGTACTGAAAACTAATTATGTTTTTGGCAAGAATGTTGAATTTAAAATAGAAACACACAGGTTAAAAGGGGCACTGAAGCATTTGAGAAGCTCTTTCAAAAAGGCTACACACACACATAAAACAGGATTCAAACCAGGAGTTGCATTCAATAATTCACACATTTATTTTTAAAATGAATCAGATTAGTCCCATGTGTGACCTGCTGGTCCATCTGTATTCACTGGACCTAATGGGCACTCTTTTCACACTAGCTTCAGTTTGAAGTATGAGACAGATAAATTTAGTTTAATTTTCAACAAATCAAGCTATCCATTTTCCAAACAGACCATCTGGATCAGCCTATTAAAATTAATTTATAACTTACTAGAGAAAGCATTTGTTTGTTAGCTAAATATAGTTGCCAAAAACTTTGGCCCCTTGTCATTGTTTTCTAAAACTTCACACACACACACACACACACATCATATGCTGCATGCGTGTATACAAATTTTATCCCTAATCTCCCACACACACACAAAAGACCTACATTTTCTTCTACTTTTAAACGAATTATTTCTCTTCTTTATTCCTTCTATTCAAGAGAAAATGAAAGCAGTCAAAATGAAGTCCCTCATATACTATCTTTCAACAATGATAATTCTTGCCAGAGCAAAGTTAATGTTCACTAGGATCCTTATAACTAACCTAATTCCTCTATTATTAATGCCTTTATCATTGTAGATCAGTCAACGGTAAGGACTTTCCACATTATTTAATCACTCTTCAATATAAGAGAAATATTATTTTACTTGATGAAGGGTTTGGTTAATTCATTAATCTTACTGAAGAGCTATTGTTTTATATGTAGCTTATGGTTGAATTGTGAAGACTTTGGTGCTCTCTGAGCACTGATGTTACCTAGTTGGGTAATGAAATGTCTGCAAGCAAACAAACAAACTCAGAGAATACTAAGGACTCCACATTTTAAACAGCTATAGTTAAGAAAAAAGACATATTTTACAGGGCTGATGTGGTAGTCAGGGTTTTTGATTATATTTTTAAAACATGTTATTGCTGGATTAGCTTGGGTTAGATGATCTATGAGCTCTCAGCTTCTAGCACCATCAATTGCACAGTTAAAATCTCTAATTTGGGAGTAAGAATACTGTGATTATTTGTAAACTATAAAGGACAAATATGTAGGTATTTTAACTCTCCACATAGGTTAATACATCCAGTTTGCCACATAATCTTTGCCATTAAATTTGCAACAGGAACAGCATAAATATGCTGATAATATAAATTGTCCCTGATTTAACTAATAGTTGTAGTGCAGACATAACACTCTTCTTTCTATATTGCAACAGAGTCCTGAGCAAAGAACACAACAAACATCCCATCTATGGCCTGGATGAAAGTAGAATTATTTTCCCTAAAAGAACATGCTTCTTTATTCCTCCTAGATCAGCAGTCCCCAACCTTTTTGGCACTAGGGACCAGTTTTGTGGAAGGTAATTTTTCCACGAACCAGGTGGAATGGTTTTGGTTTCATTCGCTTGCCTGCCATTCACCTTCAGCTGTGTGGCCCAGTTCCTAACAAGCCACAGACAGATACCAGTCCATAGCCAGGGGTTGGAGACCCCTGTCTTAGATCACTGCCTCTCAAAGACATAAACTGTAGATCAAATTAAATTAACCTTACTATTCCAAACATTAGTCAAATCATAATTTTACTTTCATGCAATCCTGAAGTTTCTCAATAGTACTCTGCTAGTAGTTGGCACCAAACACTACTTTGCTATGTATGTAACACAGTAATTGAAGGTTAAGGATATAGCATAACTATAGATAACCTGAGTGTACTGGGATCACTTAACTTTCCTTTCATTGAATTCAAACTGGGACCAGAAATATGTGACTTTTTACTCTGATGTACCTTTAATATTGAATAATTGAATGCTAATTAGTTGTTTACTTGAATTTTACTTGAATTTTTAAGAGGTTAAATAGGTTACAGAAGTCTGAATGGCTATGTTAAACATAAGATGGGAGACTGTTGCCAGGTGAAACCAGAAAATAAAATGACTACAATTTTATCTGTCCAATACACAAGGGACTGCTTTATAGACATTACTGAACCAGGTTAAGATCACAGGGAACAACTCCCAGACTGCTCTATAAAGATTATAGGTTACTTAGATATAGATTAGCTGCTAAAAGTCAGCTTCTGAAGAATACAGAATCTCTTCAAAATTAGCATAATGTTTCAAATTAAAAAGCTGGAACAAAATCATGTCTATTTTTATTTTATAGCTTTTCAGAGATATGTCAGAGAATCCTAGCTGTTTCAAGTAAAGAGGTGGATGGTGTTTGTGAGTTTGAATCAATTTCATACCTGCCTGAGTGCATTCTTCTCGGGAATGATTTTTCTGGGAGGCTCATCGTTATTACAATCTTCTCTTTCAGAGGAAGTCTATACAGAAAATAAAAATAAAAAAGTAATTTAAGTATTCCATTAAGCTGGCTACTTACATAATTAAATAAGCATTTATAATACAGGCAGTCCTCATTTAGCAACCACAATCCATTCTAGTGACAAGGTTGCTAAGAAAATCATGTGACTGAGAGAAAGAGATGCTGCAAAGATCACTGGTTGCTGCTGCCTCATTTAAATAAAGTTCTCCCATGCAGTGATGCCAAAATTACTCTCGTTCTGGTGTGTGTTGTTGTCAATAGAAGAAATTGGGCACAAGTGCATGATGCACTGGTTGGAAAATGATTTTATACTAACAGTTATTACCATCGTATTTGGAAATGCTCAGTTAATAAGGCAATTATTAACTTATAAATGAGGACTACAGTATCTACCTGTGTTGCAAATCAGAAATGTTTTCCAGCTTCTTCTTTCAAATTTCTACAATGCAAAATACTTATTCTTTTACATAACTAAACTGGTATGTCTTACTTTGTGACAGTACAGGATTTAGTACACTGAGATCTCTTTTATGAAATTTAAATGAATGTAACAAAGTGGGCATCCTATAAAACAGAGGTTGGCTTTTAATGTAGCATTTGTGGGGCGCACAATCCAGTTTTTTTATTTAGCTAAATGGCATAGTACCTATCTGCCTGCTATTTTTTCCCCCCAGAAAATAAAATATACCTGTTTTCGGGTAAAATTCTGGTTCTTTGCCTATAGGTGACATTACAGTGTCATCACCCAAACCATGAAACCCTCAGTAGGCAAAATAACCATTTTAAAAAGTAAATCTCTTATTTGTTTTGCAACCAACAGCAGATTTCTCCAATTCTCTATGCTTGCACAGTCTCCATCAGTGTAGTCATTAAAACATGCAACTGCTCTGATCTTACTAGTATTAGGGCAGCTGGTAGAAAAGATCATAGACTTGTAGATATTAACAGACTCTGTGTTCAACCATAGAGGCCTCTCAGTTGCTACCACTGATAATACTGTGATTGTAACAATCATAACAAAGACGATGAAAACAGTATCAGCATTTATTATAACAATATAAATTATAATGGGCTTCAGTGTTGCTTCTTGTTCATTTTTCTGCTCTTATCCCACCCTCCTCTGAGGATAGAGTACCTAGCATTATGTTGAACACTGAAATGAGTTCCTAATCTGAAAAAGGTTCTCTACTCATGATTTTTATATAAGAATGAATATGCATGTAAAGAAAATTGAACTTCAAGGTGGTTTTACTTAAATGGTCTGCTTGTCAGGTCAGCATAAGCTTGAACTAAGCTAGCTCCTACAATGGAAAACATGTTTTATACTACCAAGCCAAGCCACTGTATTTTAGTACTAACTTATTCTGACATACCAGCTGGACCCAGTTTTTACCTAGCTCTGCCACTTGATTCTGTGAAGGTGCCACAAACTAAATCAACTAATGTTTTACCATTTAGCTTCTTCCTTCTTGTCCATGATATTGAGATGACCATGATTATTTCTAGTCACCTATTTCCTAGCAGCAAATGTTTGTTGTCTAAATGATACTAAAAAGCCATGAACAATTATAATTAACTGTATTGTGCTAATTTCTTTAATAATTTGGGAAGCCACATTTTAATTTTTTTCTGGTAGCTAAAAGTGAGATTAAAATGTTTGTAAATAACTGAAGTACATACTAATTTTTGATTGCATTAAAAATAAAAATTCCTACCCAAAACACTCATTTGGATAAAACCCAATAGACAACACAGTGTCTCAGTCATGATTCTTATAGTTTTAAGTACAATTTTAAGTCAGAAGAAAGGTGACTGCTGACATCGTTCCATAAACACAGAAAATATGGGCTAGAAAGAATCAGATAGCAAGTAAGGATAGGAAAAGTTTACACGTTACATTTTTAGGTTGATATTATAGTGTTAATGTGAATGGATTTTTTTTTAACTTTAATTTTGGATCCTATTTTGCTTTGATTTCCTTCTAAGTTATATTACTAAGGGCCCTGGAATTCTATTGCCTTTATGTTGCCCACCCCAACATGCTTGAAGTTTACCAATTTCATCTTGAAACTAAACAGCTAATTTGAAGCCTTTGTTTTATTCATTATCTTTATAGGTGGCAAGACTAAGAGGTTGGCTGAACAAAGACCAGACAATGACTGCCAAGTGCATATGGTGGCTCACAGCTTGCCGTCACCCCATTCTACTGCACCAACACAGCAGACTATTAAAGAGGAGCGCTGCTCATGCACTTTTGTCAGCAAGTTAAGTTACGCTTGGCAAAGGCTGAAAAACTGGAAAACATTAAGCTCTGTAACGGCAGCAAAGATGGAACTCATTGCTTAGAAACTGGAAATCTTAGTGGACAACAAGCCTTAGAACATTTCCAAAATATAATTTCTATCATAAACAATCCCAAGACAGAAAACAATTTTCAAATGCAAGTTGTCTTTTAGCTCAGTTATGCATCCTAAAAGTAAAATAAATATGCACATCTGTGATCAACACTTTCCACTGAATTGCTTGTTGACTTTCTTATAGCAATTTAAGAGGACAAGGGCTAGATTTTTAAATCAGCAAGTCAATTATTTTTCAGAGCAAAAATTAAGAGATTGTTACTACCTTCTACTCTGCTGATAAGTAAAGAGATGCTTTGCAATGAAACACAAGGAAGTTCAAAAACTGTGATTCAATTATTTTTATATATCCCATTCCTGTTGCTAAAACATTCTTCATTTCGAACATGCAATTTAGATAGAAAAGTCATTTTGTTATTGCTATTCTTAAAAACAACTAAATCAGAAATTATATTCTCTCTAATGTATGGATCATAGGATACCATGAATTATCAGATCTTCTGACTCAGTTTACCATATAACATGTGGTCTTTTGCTATTTTCTCCTACATTTAACAATTCAGAAAAAAAGGCAATAATTAATGACATAGTCCCACATGACATCAATGAGTAGGGAATATTCTGAATTATTCTATAATTGCTAAATGGTACTCAAAAAAGTAATGGTATGGTGTGGTTGATATTATTTTTATCTGCTTTAAGGAAGGCCTGGATAAATAAATGTAATATAATCATAAGAAAAACAGAGAAGAATGATTAACTTGTCTAACCTTTCTCCTTGGAAATTTTGTACTCTGATTTCAACCCTAGCATAGTACAAGATTAAAGATAAGAAAGCATCAGAAAATTTAAAGTAACCTAATTTTGTGAGAGATGTGTTCTTCATTCTTATCTCAGTAAGCAGTAAGCAGGCAATACTTAAATTGCTACTTGCAAAGGGGTGGGGTTTTTTTGGTAACAGGGACCTAACAGGAACAGAGTTTTGAGAAAAGTCATTTGTTAGAGAATGCTTCACCTTGTATTAATGAACACAACAAATCTACCTGGCATGCAACCACCTCAACAACCATTGTACACAGTTCTTTCGTGAAATTCAGTCACGCCTCTCCAAAACATCCCTACATAGTTACAATGAAGAATCTGAATATGATAATGCAAATTGTTGCATTAAATTCATCTGTTAGAATCAGAGGCAATAGATGGATTAAAAGCCTTTCAGGATTATTAAAAATGTCTCTTGTCTCAAGCAATAATCTTGCCAATGGAGGTATAGGGGTTTTATTTCCTGAGGATGGGAAAAGTGGAGGCTTGCATTTGTCAGCACTATTAATAAACCATACAGATGCAGCACTTTTTGAAAAATCTATCTATGTGTGAAAGCAAGAAACCATATACTATATACACAGAGAGAGCTTCTTTATGCTTCCAAATCCTTAATCCTGTCTGGAACTGTCAGTGGGGGTTAATGGTAGCTTTGGATAAGAGAATTCCAATCTGGTTGGCAGATGGATAGGTTGGTTATAGCTGCATAACTATGTCTTGCCTACAGGCACAATTCAGAACACTGTTAAAGTAATATAAAGTCACTGTCAAGCTGAACCATTTGGATCGGTAGCAAGGAGAAATAATAATAAAAGGAGTTCATTTCTGGGCCTTGTATATTCATGCTAGTATGCAGAAACTGATTAATTGTCATCATGTGCTGGTCGGCTGCACCTCAGATTCCTACTTCTGGAGTAGATTTTGCATGCTAATATAATCATTTCCCCTCTTGAGACATTAGCAAATAATCAAATGAAAAACTGGATCATAATTTACTGAGATTCAGGCAATTCTCTATGCAAATTTGACTTGTTATTGCTGCTGCCTCGTTAATCTGAATGCCTTTGACAAACTCCTTTGATTTATGAACTCATGACAACTCCAATGTGTATATATTTTGCTAGATTGACATTATCATTAAGAGTGGGTGGACTGAGCTCATATGAATGGCTGATTTTATTCGCTGGTGTCGGCTGCTCAACAGCTGAGCATCTCCTTTGCACAAAGCCCCCAAGCACAAGGCTCTTCCCATCTACCCATCCATTCATCATCTCGATGTTAATTGGCCCAGGCTTTAAGCAAATTTTCAACACGATTTAAAGGCATGATGACACTGATTACTGACCCTCTGCCATACGGTGTCTATTGATTAACCTGACAGAGAGAGAGGATGAGCTTGAGGGGAAGTAAGTGTATGGGGATTTCAAAAGTGTGTATGTGTACATACACACATACAGTGTCTGTGTGTATGTAGGTATATACATATACATATACATACATACATACATACATACATACATACATACATACATACATATATACATACATATATGCATATACATACACAATGCAGATAAAATGTTTATTATTAGTCATTATCCCAGGAATAATCTTTAAAGCCTTGAAGGACTACACTCACTAATTAAAATGCAGGCTGCTTTGAGAGAATAAATATCATGTCAAATATCATATTAGACTGTAGAAGCAGACAAAACTAAATGATAGAATTAACTGTGTCTAGTCATCATGAGCACTATTGGTATGCAGAAGTGAAAATCAGCAACAGCACAATCAGCTCACAGTTAATTCCTTAAGTAAC